CAAAAAAAAAACCCCCAACCCCAACGCACCCCCAACCCAGTAGGTAGATAAATAGATGAATTAATTAATTTTTAAAAGACGAAATGGAGAAGCTTTTTCGTTTGGGAGGGGGCGCGCGCTGACGTATTCGCCTCTCGTTCAATAGGTCCCAGGTTCGAATCTGGATAGCGATGATTTTTTTTTCTTTCACACCCTTTCCTGCTCCCTAACACTAACACTATTCTGTCGCCTGCTTTCGTCTCCACTTTCTACCGTCACCCACGAGACCCCCTTTGCCCCGCTCCTTCGACTCGTTCTGCACCACTTATACTGCTTCTCCTTGGCTCCTTCTTACGGCTGTCTTTCAACCACAGCCCTAATCTTATGGTAGGAAAGATCTACACCTAGCGTTCTAGGCTCGGACAAAGGCGAACAATTTCAGATATAGGTCCCGCGTGCAAGTGGCGCAAGTTAAAGTCTATCCCTTAATAAGGTGGTCCAAAAATTGATAAGAGTAGGCTAAAGCTTCGGCCGCCACCCGGGCAAAATTCAAAATTTCCTACCAACTGAAAATATGTCCCACGTGCTCATATGTCTAAGATCTCTGACCGTCTAGCCTATGACCCTTTGCAGCGCAGTACGTTGCGAGCGCCGTAAAACACTCTCCCCCCAAAAAAACAACAAAAAAACCCCCCTCAACCAACCAAAAAAACAACAACAACCCTGCAGTTTCATCAGTCTGAGCCAACGTCAGTATTTATTCTATAATCTGAGTTATTGACCATTAATTAAAATTAAACGTGTACCACACTCACTCACACACACACACACACACACACACACACACACACACACACACACACACACAACAACAACAACACTACAACAACAACAACAGCCGACGACGAAACAAAATAAAACAACCAAACAAAAATGGCACTATAATAATAACTGATTCTGAATACCGGTCTCAAAAGGTACGTGTGTTTGCGCTCTTTAGTCGACTTAATTAAAAAAAAAAAAATACACTCAAGGCCAGACATTCAAGAAACACGTAAAAAGAATTTGACACCGTTCGCTCCCCCCAATCCAAACCCTTTCAAATTTCATTTTCCTGTCTGGCGTCCAGGAGTCCAATAGAAGATCACCGCAAGTGCTCAGTGCTCAGAATCTTTCGGCAACTTTCGGTGCTCTCTCGTTGTCGACGAACCGAATGCCGAGACCGCAAGCGATCTTTGTTTCACATTCGAGAGCAGAGAGAGAGAGAGTGAGAGAAAAGAAAAAACACGGAACTACACAGTACAGTTGTGTTTCTTTGGAGTTTGATCTAGAATTGTAAGCTTTCCGTTTATTGTCTGTCTTTGCTTTATGTAGATAATTAGAATTGCATGCATTTTCTTTTATTTTTGTATCAGTAATGTTGTACCGCTCATTTCAGCAGTTTTATTGGAAGGTTTGGAGCCAGGAGCAGCCGGCTTTGGCTTTGGCGTTGGTTTGAAATTGAAATCATGGTCGCTGTTTCTCGCACGACTCGCGCCCGCTGTGTTGTTTTTGGATGTTCATGAAAATGTTCTGTTCCTAAATATACTCTGATCTCAGCAGTGTGCATCGTATGTTGGCTTATAAAACAGCTGAAACTCTAACAATAGTATAGCAGAGCAAAATCAGCCCAGAACTCTTTTATCCCTAATTATTGTGCAGTAGTGTAGTGTAGTGTAGTGTAGAAACTGGTCGGATGGTTGGTTTTCGTCTTACGCCGGTGTCTTGTGTACCTGGTTTTTACTCAGACTCAGTGTGTGGATGGTCTGGAATAGAAACACTGTTCAGTGAAAGGAAAAATTAACTTGTATTTTTTCAATTTCACTCCTCTATCTCATGCTCAGTTCACGTTATTTACCGGTATTAACTAACCAGTAACAGTATTGTTGTGCACCTTCTTATAAGTTGTTCATTCATCCATTTTTTATTTGGCTGTCGTTATTCTCACCCGGGGTGAAAATAAAATATATGTTATTCTCACCCGGGGGAGAATAATATCCATTTTATTCTCACCCAGGGTGAGAATAAAAGAAAGTGGCTATTCTCACCCGCCCGGAAGTTCTCGCAAGATCAACTCCTCCCCTCTTCTCTCTCTCTGTCTCTTTCTGAATACTGTCTATCGGTGTGGACGATCAAATTGACCAAAACAAAGTTAAAAAATGATGTTAAAACACAAAAGTAAATAAATTTGGTTGTCTACAAAGATGCTACGGCTATTTAACTTTTCGAATCGAGCCGAATTACGCGGGTCGCCATTTTGTTTTGCCCGGAAATTCTCGCGCTACTCCTCTCTCTCTTTCTCTCTCTCTCTCCACTGCCCACAGACAAAATTGTACGCTTTTAGTAGGCTACAATTGTAATGGAACGTTTGTTCATGGCACAGAATTCTACAATTTTTCTGTTATCACAGTGTAGAATTCTGTGGTTTAGGGTGAACGCAAAATTTGGTGAACGCGCACCGGGTGAGAATAGCCACAAGACTCGCCTGCACTATTCTCACTCCGGGTGAGAATAGAGGTGGCCAGAATAAAAATATTAAATTGCTATTCTCACCCGGTCTGAGAATGCAATGGATTTATAGGTCTACTTGGGTGTTGAGAACGGATGATGGAAAATAATTTGTGAATTGTAAGAGAGTGACCGTTCGTGACCTGCCCGAGAGCACTGGCCGATTTTTCTAGGCTCCCGCGGGGATTGTTATTGTTTCATTTTTTAAAAATCTTGAGTTGAGAGTATGCACGAATATCTTCACCAAAACCCTAGACAAGTGCAAATATATTCTAAATTCAGAAAGGAACTCATTTGCCAGAGTAGTATGTTTTTAAGAACTCTCTCTCTCACACACACACACACACACACACTACCGGGTCTGGGCGCTGAAACTTCCCGAAATCACAGAAGAGTTCCCCTACCGGGTCTGTATACTTTGTGACTTTGTTCCCGGTTACCGGGTCTGTATACACTTCGTTAATGAAATAATGTTTGTCATGTGTAAAGTTAGAATTGGCATTTGTTTACAACACAAAAAACATGTTTAATTGTTATCCCTAGTTAGTAGAACCCACGATTATTTTTTAAGGAACGCAGTGTCTTGAATTTAGGCTTATTTTTTTCTTAATTTTGATTGGTTAAACCATTCAAGAGTAAAATTTTCCGATACAGAACCAATAAATTGATACTGTAGCACCAAAAGGTGACGCTATTTGGTCAAAAGATAAGGTTCCCCCCCCCAAATCGACAATAATCGCCTCCCGTGCCCGAGAGCTGGCCCGCCCGTTCTCGATTTTAGTAATAAATTAGTCGACTCGCGCGCTCAGCTGAGTGAGGGAGGCGAGTTTTGTGGCCTGGAGCGCTCAGTGACAGGGGTCCTATGATGCCCGAAAAAAAAAAAAAAACGGGTGAGAATAGTAGGCTGTCGTTATTCTCACCCGGGGTGAGAATAGTACAAAATTTTATTCTCACCCCGGGTGAGAATAATATCCAGTTTATCCTCACCCCGATTGAGAATAATCACTGTTTTTATTTTTCTACACACACACACACACACACACACACACACACACACACACACACACACACACACACACACACACAGAGCAAATTTTTTGACTTTTTACTATCGCAAATCATTTTTTGTTGTATTTGATGTTTTCATTAGAAGTAAATTATAGTAGGTGGGTATTTGCGTGGTAATATTTCGCTCAATTAAAAAACATATTTGGGGTTACAACAGGATCTGTATGGCACGGTAAGCCTCTATCAAGTCTTTTCCCACCATGTCATTGATGATTTTATTGTAATGTTCGCATAATGTTCGACACGCGTATAATGTTTGAGATTTTCTTGAAAACTTGATTTGCAACAGTTGTAGTAGCAGTCAGCATAATATATGGTGTTTGACAGACAAAATGTAGCCTAGGTTTTTAGGCACCTAGCTATCTGGGCTGCATGATAGAAGGAGTGATACAAATTTACATGTCTCTATAACTTTACGTTTTTCTCTGATAATAGCCTGGCTCTATTTCTCCGAACGTTCGGGAAAATAAACTTGAACTTTATTTCTCCGAACTGTTTCCTTTCTTGAGATTTGTTGATAATAAGTAGATGAATGGAGTGGCCCGTATGTGTGTGTGTGTGTGTGTGTGTGTGTGTGCATGTGTGTGTGTAAGGTGTGAACCAGGAGGGGGGGGGGGGGGGGTAGTTTTTGCTGTAAAACACATTTACCAAAAAAAAAAAGCTGTGAAGTTCTCTTTGGAATTGCTTAAAAATATCAAATGCAAAATAGGTTATTGCCAAGGTGGAGCAGTCTTGTTTTCTCGCAGTTCCTTTTGAAGGTATTTTTAAATGAAGTATAGTCCGGGAACGTTGCTCCAACCACAACTGAAGTGTCTGAATATTCAGACATTTAAAAATCTCTAGCTAGCTCTAAAAAAATTTTTAATTGAATCCGATACAAAAAATTCTTCCTCCCAGTCCTCGCAGAATGGCAGAATGAAATTATGAAAGGATGACGCCTAAATCTCGCAAATAACCAAAAAATCTCGAGATCGGAAACTGTTAGGAGAAATAGAGTTCAACTTTATTTTCCCGAACGTTCGGAGAAATAGTCACTTAGAAAAATTTAACTCTGCATCTTGGCTGAGTGATTCTCTGGAAGGAACTCCGTAATGAGCGACCATGAAATGGAGTAGAATAGAGAGATACGGTTATGGTTTGGGTTTGGGTTAGGGTAAGGTCAGGGGTGGGGTCAGGGTTAAGGCTAAGTCTCTTCTTTATTGTTTGGGGTGGTCGCTCGTTACGGCAGTCCTGCTGATTCTCTAGACCGTTTGGTTTTCAATCACAGTGTATGGAGAGGTCAAGAAGGTGAGTGTTGAGTTGAGAAGGGAAAGAGTAGGCTTGATCTCATGTTATTAAATTATTAAAAAGTTAATTTTTAAAATCAGTGAAGGGGAGCTCATTAATTTTTTTAAAGCATGATTAGTCCATACTTAGTGAAATGGCTTGCAAAAGCACTGAAGTATTGTTGCATCATGAAAGAGCTGAATACCTAGGTATTTTGTTTTGTTTTGCAATTTTTTTCCCAATAAAATTTGATTTTTAAGTTGTGAAAAGGGGGGGAGGGGGGGGGCTTTTGTGGCCTAGAGGTTAAGGTGTTTGCCTCTCATTTAAAGGTCCTGGGTTTGATTGGGGATAGCGCCGAAAAATTTTCTTCTCTAAATTTTCTCCTTTTACGTCCTTTCCTGCTCTTGAATATTGTTCTGTCGTCTGCTTTCGTCTCCACTTTCTGCCCCCACCCCTTCACCTCCTTTGTCCCCTCCTCTGGGCTCCTGACTCTTTCTACAGCCTTTCTACTGCTACTTCGTGGCTCCTTATTACTGCTGTTTTTCAGCCGCACTCCTGATCTTTTGGTAGGAAAGGTGTCTGCAACTCTAGCCTTCTCGGACAAGGGTGAAAAATCTCAGATCCCGAGTGCAAGATGTGCTCCTTAGGAGTTAGAGACCCCTTGGTTGTCCAAAATGGATAAAAGTAGGCTTTGGCCACCACCAGTGCAAAATTCAAAATTTCCGACCAACTGAAAATGTTTAATGTGTCTCCTGTGCTCAATTCACCTTGTGCTGTTGTAAGCGCTGTAAAACTCATTTACCAAAAAAAAAAAAAGCTGTGAAGTTCTCTTTGGAATTGCTTTAAAATATTAAATGCTCGCTGTAGAACTTTATTTACGTCGATGCCAAGACTGGATGGCTGTTTTATTCTAGTGCAACTTTAATACTTGTTTAGCAGAAAGTTTGTGATGGGAAAAAAGTGAAGGTGAATTGACAAGCTTTTATGCTATTATTTCACTGAGTTAAATATTCACACACATTCATGAGTTAAATATTCACACACATTCATAAAGTGGCCAGTAACTGATTCCTGAAAATCGTGCGGGCTGAGGTACCATCTGGCAACATAATTTTGACTTTCACTTCTTCTGCACAGCATTTTTTGACATTGTGTTGTGGTCACCTCATAGGTCCTGCAGGAGGGTTGCTATCGGATCATTGCTGGTTGGGGTCATTCTCTATATCATTATTATGCTTGGATCTGCAAGTTTCTTGCCTAGTCAGCTTACTGCAAGAAGAAGCTCACTTGTGGTTTCTCATGCAGGCAGGAAGATTATGAGAGTGATTTTCCTCAGGACAAAGCAAAACTGGAATGATTTAAGTATTGAGATGACATGAAGCTCACAAACATTTTGGGTGTTACTGGTAGGCCCTACTTCTTTTCTTCCCTTCTGGTGTTTCTCTCTATCAATTTTGTTTTTTCTTTCTGTACTAAATCGTTGTTATAAATTGTTGTGTCCATGTACTTTTTTGAGTCAAACAAACTAACAAGTTCTCAGGGAAAGTGTTCTCTAATATCTCATTTTTGTTTTGTTCTTTCTCTTCTTTCAGTTACCTCACGTTTGACCAAAATGCCAAAGAGGAAAGCTACAAAGGTGTGTGAGGTTTATTACAGCACTGCTGCAAATCCAGAGAAGTCTTTTGATCTCAGGCAAAATTTAAAAGCATTTAATTTCATATATTATGAGTTTTAATCCAAAAACAAAACAAAAAACTAGACAGTTTCTTGTTGTACTGAAGAATGGAGATTTATGAAAGGCTGAATAATCAGGCTGAAGGGCTAGAACTCAGATGGCTGCTGGATCAGAAAAGTAAAGATGAGAGGCTGAATAAGGCTATGACTTAAAGTAACAAGTGCCTTTGGCTTTAGCAGTGAACAGAATAAATCTAGTTGGACTTGCTCTGTAGTCAAATGACAGAAGTGTAACATTTTTATTTATTTAATTGGAAGCGTTGTGACTGTAAGATAAACCATTTTCATTGTTACCCAGTAGGTCTTTGTTACTAAAATCTGGCATCCATGTATTATGAAGCTCATCTTTGCTCTCTTATTTTTTCCAAATCACAGCCTTTTTATGCAAAGAAGGCACCTCTCATCAAGTGTATAATTATATATATATTTTTTTTTGGAACAGATATTTGTTATATAATTTTTAAAAATGTAAATATGTGCTCTTAATCTTTTAAAAGATGGTTGCCAGCTCAGTCAATATGTATGTTAAGGGCACCACATATAGTCAGGCATGGATTACTCAAACACATTGGGAATTGACCATTTTGTGTTTGACACATCCATAATTCAGGTTTACTGATATAACTGAAAATTAAAGATGTGTATCAGTTGGGGAATGTCACATTGTAGTAGTAAGCTATCTGTGGTTTTTGAGAGTTTTCCGTGTTTGTGTTACCTGTGCCCGGCTGCACTGTAAAATGCATTTTGATGAAACAAATTCTATTCTTTCATGAATATTATGATTAGAAACAATTTTGCAATGATGTTTTCTATAAAAAAGAATCACTTCTATTTCTGCCTTTAAGAACTGTGCTCTATTTGTTCCCAGGCCCCTGCTAATGATGCGGCTACCAATGATGAGGTAATGGAGAGTATTTTGCCTCAGATCAGACTTGGTCTGTCCGCATAAGTTTTATTTATTTATTGAGTTTTTTTTGTTTTTTTAACAAAAGTATAAGGATGTAATATATTTTGAATGTAGGTGGAAGTTCTCTGACTGCTTCTGTTCTTTGTTTGCTAAGTAAGTTACAAGTGCAGACTACCAGAGGAAAAAATTATTTCTCACATCTTTTGAATTATTTTCTTACCGGTGTAGAATTGTAGATAAAGAGGCTCTGATTATTTTCTATGAATAGGACTTGGGCGTGTCAAAAATTTGATATTGGTTGTTAAAAAGTTAAAATTGGAGACATTGTATGTGTATATATATATATATTGGCCTATAGATAATAGCGACTCTTGTGATGTTGCTATAAATATAGCTGGCATAGCAAATCAGCCAACCTGGGAATTTCTTATTTTACAGATGAGATGATCTAATTTTGTGTCTCAGCTTTGCAGTATGTTAAAATTTGAGAGAATCTTTTCATCTATTCTTTATTCTTCTTTAGTGACATTTTGTCTTCTATTTGATATTGCATGTTAAGACTTGCATATATATTTGCCGTTTGAAGGAAATACTTGAAGGCAAGATGAGGGGCAAAAGTGCCAGGGGTGGACAAAGAACTTTGTTGACCGACAATATCAGGGCATGGACTTGGCCTAAAAATGACAGAGTGTATAAAATTGCAGCTAGTGGCTGCAAGCACTGGGGGTCCATTAATTGTCAACCTCTGAGCCAGAGAAGACACCTCCAGTTATCCATGTATGCAGTGTAATGGTAGGCTCTTTTTCTGCTGTTCTAATTTTAGCAAGCTTTTTACGGGACTTGCAACACAATTATGTCATATAAGTGCTGGAGATTAGCGGTGTTACAAGAGAGTAACAAACACATAAAAGGAGGAGAGATAAAGACGATAAATGTTTGATAGGAAAGGAGCAAATCATCCCAGGCGACAGAATATTGTAAGAGAGCAGGAAAAGAGGTGAAATGGGACAATTTTAGAAAAGAAAAATTTTCCGCCGCCACCCGGATTTGAACCCGTGACCTTTGAATGAGAGGTTAATAACCTCTGGGCAGTAAGAGTCCCCTATGTCCATTTAAAAACGCATTCTATTAGAAATTGCAATAAAGTTGATAAAAGGCAAAGGAATCAAAATATAAATTTGCAGTTTCCAAGGACACTTAAGCTTTGGAAGTCACCAAACTTTGGCAGCCATGTTCCTGCTAATTTCACCTCTGATACCAGGAGACTCCCATATCATGCAATTGCAAATGTCTTGACTTCTATTCAAGATAGATGGGTATTATTTTCACCTAAAGCAAGATAATGAAGAAGCTTTAAGATGATACCAATGCCCAAAAACTGACGAGCGTTTGATTCCACCACGTAGTGTGATGTAGTGATGCATATTTTATATTGCATATGCTTGAATGTTTTCTAATTTCAATTCGACAGGGCGAGACAGCTGCTTCTCCTGCAAAGGCTCAGAAGAAGGTATATTTTTTTGTCTTTGTAAAGTATTCACGCTGGGTGGAGCAGTACTTTTCCTTTGTAGATTATCTTGTGAAAGGAGTCAGAAATGAGAAGCCTAATGATCAGGAAGTCAAGGCTTTGTTTTAAGTATAGTAAATGGTTTACCATCGTCCTTTGTGAAATATTTCTGATCAAGCTGACATGACATAAAATTTGCAAACAAATTTTTCAGCTTCTGAAATACCCTTTTTAATGTTTTTAACTGTATTTGGTTTGAAAACAAAACTGGAACGTTCATTGTAATAGGTATCACTGATTGAAGAGTTTTAAAAATTTTTTATTTTTAGACATATTTATATATCTTAAACCCCTTTTTTGTGAGTAGGTGTGGGTTCCTTCTGACAGCACTGATTTTCAGCTGAGTTCGTTAGCCTGGACAACAGTCTCATCAGCCTCAGTGCCAGAAAACTCTGTGAATGATTCTGGCCCACTCATGACATTTAGACCCTGGGTCTTTGAGCTTCACTATTATCATCCCCATATTCCCTAGTATCCTGAAATTTGCTGCCTTTAATCAGTCATTTGGGTATTTACCTTTTGAGAGAGCAAGCTTTTGTCTGCAAAGACTAGATCTGTGTTTATCAATTGCTTACAAACCAAGCAGTAAAGTAATATTAGAAAATTTTGAACAGATATTGGCATTTTTTATTTCTGAACATGAATCCACACTGTGCTTGAGGCAGAATCTCTGTGCAGAAGAAATAGAGCCAGACAAACAGTGGGTCATGCATTTAGTGTCTTATAGGCAACCAAGAATGGCATATTATGCCAATTTTTGTGATGTCTATGGTATGGTACAAAGCTAAAAATTACTCATTTTGGTGAGGTACCATGTACATCATAAGGCAATGAAGGGGGTCAAAAATTAGTGTGGATACGGTGTTACATAAAGTTTGGGTACTTTAACTTTTCTTTTTGATTTGAAGAAAAATTTAGCTCTCAAATATTTTTTGGGGCCAGTGTTCCTCAACAGCTTTGCCTACTTATTTAGAATGAATATATCTTATTTTTAGGTTGCTACCCCCAAACCAGCTGAAAAGAAAGGAAGAGGCAGGCCACCTCTCTCAGCTGAGGTAAGATTTTTTCTTTCTACTAGGATATAATATTTTTTCCTGGGTTCTTTTTGTCTGGTTTACTGACCTAAGTATTTTTTAGTTAAAAAAGCAAAAATTGTGCATAGAAAAAAAGTTCACTATTTCAGATTTATTAAAAAAAAAAATGTTTTAAGAAATTCTGGAATGAGTTATCTATGTTAGTGCATGGTTGATACTATTTTAGAGTGGGATGTATCTTGTATACAGCTAAGATTGTTCTAAAGGAACTTATTTATTTCTATTTGAGGAGTGACAGAAAAAGTTTCCTTCTTCAGCCCCAGTAGTGACATCTATGAAACTGCTAAGATTTTTAGGGATGCATTTTTAGAGAGTAAACCATCTTGTAGCGCTCTCATTATCTTTAGTTAACAGTTTGTTTTTTCAGTCCGACTGATCATGGTACAGGAATGATGTAAGATTTTTCTCAGAGCAGTCCCAGTGATATTATAATATGAGTATACTGTACATGGAGCACCGGCAGTAGAATTTTAGTTGCCGCGGGAGGTTCCCCGCCGGGCGCCTTATCACGTCGGGGTCACGGGGGTCAGCTCCCTGTCGCCGCTCTGTCTGGGCCGATCTTAATTTTTGGTACTTTTCAACGCAGTTTTAGGTGCATCCTTGTATATATCGTAATTTTCATTTAGTGTACCCAAAGCATGCTTTTCTGCTCTTGAGACTGAAAAAAGAACTTACGTTGTAACTTGTCTGGTTATTTCGTTAGACGCGCTGGAATCGGCAATGCTAAATCGTAATTTTTTTGGGCCTAGCAGGAATGAAAAAAATCAATATTAAAAGAAAGGCCTCGACAAAATCTGTTGAACTTTTGTAACATGAACGACATGGCATTGGTGCAGATACTCACAAAAGATGGTATCTGCGCATATAATAGAAAGCTGTAATTTTGCAACTTTATCCAACGGGCACACAATTCGCTGTCTAGTAATTCCTCCAAATACAACTTTATGTGCCTAATATAATTGCGAATATTCGCATTTTTTCTCGAAAGTTTATAAAAGTTACCATTTAGTTTCTCTATGAAAAATACAAATCAATTTTAGTGCCAGAGTACATCTTCATTGTAATACACGAACAGTATCTGTTACACTCCAGAAATTCCTTACTTTACTTAAAATGCTAAGTCTAGGTTTTGTAAGTTGAGTGAATAATAGGGATGACTTCTCGTAATTGGGTTATAAGAATAATTTCTAGCTTTCCAGGGACACTGAATCAGCACCAGACTTTTCCAGCTTTATTTTCGTTTCTATGACCCTTTGCAATAACTGACAATGTGACTGATTTCTTTACATTCATAATTGTGTTCGTGTATATGTCCGACACAAAGCTAAGAATGAATGTGTTAGCTGTCATTATTATTCCATACAAGAAGTTTATCTCTACCCATGTTTTTACACAGTTTTGTGGGTTTTTCTAATCGATATACAGTAGTCTCCGCCTAAGATCCCACTGCTTACGATCCCGGTTCGCTTAAGATCCCGTTGTTTTAGGAAAACAGAATTTTTACTATACAAAAGTCACCCCTAAGATCCCGCTCTGATGGTCTACATTCGGCTAAGATCCCGCATTTCAGATCATAATTTGCCAACAAAAAAAACCCCGGGTGGGCACAGCCGATCAACCAAGAATAAAAAGTTTAGATCAATAAACTGTCCGTCGCGTCAAAGATCAGCCACTATCGTGAATGTGATCACATACATGTTGTAAAACTCGATGAAGCGATACAATGTTTGCCCCAGACGGGATCACACCGTGGTGTGAACTGACCGACGCGTTTGTTTTCCCCACGCATCGCACTCACACCTTAGCTCGCCACCTAAGCTTGCATCACTCGCTGGGTGGGTAGGGCTTACAAGTTCGCTCCTGGCGGGATCACATCGAACCGTGAACTCCTCCTTGACCATTGCAGCAGTTGTCTCTACTCCTGAATTTGTGAGACAGACTGAATTTTAATTGGTGCGTTCACAACGTAATGGTGTGTAACGACAAAGGCAGTTTGGAGGGGGGGGGGGGGGGGAGAGGGGCTCGGTCAGAGATGGAAAGCTATAAATTTTTGACAGGGAAATAGGAGGGGCAACTGGGTAATCGTAGATCCTGAGACTCATGATAGGATAATAAGTGAAAATGGCTCGCCTCATGCCACTATGCACCGTGAAAGGTCATCAACGTTAACCACTCTTTGCTCGCCATATGCCATAAACCCACCAAGGGGGCACGTCAGCTCATTGTAGAGTGGAGGGAGACCATTTTACCGATTGTGAGCCTTAACATGGGTCAACATAGATTCTTTCCTGGGTTCATCGGTTAAGATCCCGGTTCGCCTAAGATCCCGCGTTTCCTTGCTCCCGAGCACCGGGATCTTAGGTGGAGACTACTGTAATTTCTTTTTACTTGTATGCTGGCTGCCACAGACACTGCATGATTCATGAACAACCACAGAATAACTTTCTCTTGTTTAATAGTAAAATAAGAGCCAACGCTGATCCTCTTTAGTTAAAAAATGCAGATGTGCATCTTAGAACTTGACTATTATTACTTGTGCAGATTTAAGATTTCTCATGGTAAAATACATGATATTCGTAGTCAGTTTAACACAGATTTTGGAGAGATCTGTCGTGCCTTTTTAAAATTAACAATCATTTATTCATAAGTTTGTAACTAAAATTGGACAAATTGGTTGCTCTACAAACACTTGTCTAGAACAAAAACTAAGACACAGAAATTAACCATTCTAACGCAGAATAAATCTCAAGACCTTGAGCTTTTAGTACATCCGCATAATGGTTTGCTGTGTGGGATGGGGAAGAAGTTATATCGTTTTAAACATAGTCAAAAATGCAAACTTCCTAACCGACACCGGCAAAGTCGCTTCAGGGCTCATTAACCCGTGACCCCGAGCCGTGAGCTCCGGAGGGCTGCTGAGTCACGCTAACTAAAGGTAACAGAATCGGGCGAAAAGTGACGTCGCATGTAATATATAATAATTTCACTGTGTAAAACGGTCACCTGTCCAACGTGGTCATGGCCACCATATGTTATCTACCAATAACAAAAAATACCTGTCTTAGATGACCACGCAAACCACTCATCGCTCTATGATTTGTCATAAATGATATATTGGCCCCTGACTCTGTGGACGAGCCAACATAATCCATTCACCTGTCGTTATTGTTAGTCCCTCCATTGAATGAACCAAACATGTTGTTTAGGTCACTCCTAATGTTTACTCAAGCTGACCAATCGGTAATAGTAATAATACATTTTCAGCTGCTAGTGAGGGAAGCAGTCTGTCATAATCTATAAACCCTGCCCACAGCTCTTACACAAATCATAAGTTACATGAGCTGTCACTGTTTATCCAGTCTGTAAACCCAGTATATGTCAATTGATGTCAACATGAACTGTCACTTATTCGCTGAGTGGTCACAACCCATTTGTTCTATTTTGGCACTTGGTCTTGATGTACATGATCTCTGAAGTGCAATTTCTGTACCAAACATTCTAAGTCTATAAGTAACTCTCTAACTTATTCCATTAGAGAAACCTGGTGTGTGTAAAGTTAGGCCCCTTGGGCATATTGTTCAATTACATTGGTTGCTTTGTTCTAATAAACTAGTAAGTCTGTACCCGCACCTTCTGTGTGTTATTAAGCCAAATAAAGAATTCTGAACATCTGGTCCTACATATTTCGTTTTGTCTCAACCTTGCACAAAATCATCATTTATTTAAAAAAAAACCCAACAAACAAACATCTGAATGCCACAAAAACCTTCCTTTACTTTTCCCCCTTTCCAAAAGAAAAAATCAAAACAGAACATTTAGTCGTAAGCCTGTGACCACCCCCAGTTGGGACATCAGAAGTAAATAGTTTGTTGTCTTCATTTTGATCAGTCCTGTGTGATGTGTGTAACGACCACATGTCTTGTACAGCCACTTTTCTCCTCGCAATAACAGCTTCATCTGTACGCCCCCAGACATAGACTTGGACGTTTGTGGAATGACACTAAAAATATGGGACTTTTCACTTGTTGGGTAGATGGTCATTGTCTGTCTGTCTGTCTGTCTGTCATTGTGTCTCTCTCTCTCTGTCTGTCTGTCTCACACCCATGCTTTGAATCTCACTCTCTTTCTCCCTTTCCCATCTCTTTTTTCTTTCTCTAAACACTTTATTTTTAAACAAATCTTTGTTGTTCCCTTTTAAAGGATTCATGTAATAATACCCCCCCCCCAACGGCTGTTAAGTGGTTTTTTAAAATGTTCTAAAGTACAGAATAAAAACGAGCATCTGGGCATGTTTCCTTCCTTTTTCTCAGGAGAAGGCCAAGCGTGCTGAGGCCAAAAAGCAGTCAGCGGGCCGTGGTCGTGGGCGGCCTAAAGGAAGCACAGTAAGTGAACCTGGATGAGATTGCTTAGTGTTAGATAGTGGTCATAATCTTTGATAATAGGTAAATAGAAAAATAAATAAATAGACACCACTTTTATTAATCCCCTCCTCAAGGAAATTTGGTTGACGATGGAATGCATGCGTACATGCATACTAAAATGTATGTGATATTCCATCAACGTTTTATAAGACACTATTGATCAATTAAACTCAGGAGATGGTTGGTGGGTGTTCTAATATGGTTTTCTCCTTTTTTCCTATCAAACATCTATCATTCTGATCTCTCCTCCTTTTTTGTGTTTGTTACTCTTTTGTAACATGATCTGTAATCCTTTGCACTTATATGACGTTATTGTGTTGCAAGTGCTATAAAACTTTAACAAAAACTAAACAGACAATCAACGTGCCATTGCTTGTGCTATGATCTCACGAAAATTTGTTGGACGAGAAGTGTTTGTGGATCGAGCCTCATCGTGTGAACATGGATGATCATTTCTTTGAACCAAATAAATTGCCAAGGTGTCTCATGATGTGTTGAATGTCTATTTTTGTATTACAAAGTGAATAAGCTATTAATTGTACTGCATAAGTTCGATGGTAAGGAGAGTTCTTTGGCAAGGAGACTGGAGGTCTAGTACATGAATGCTAAGAGCTATTCCACCGAATTAATTTGAAAAAGCTTCAACCATAAACAAAGCGTTGAATGACTGACCTGTGTAAGACTAATTTAATGACACCACCGTAGTATGGTAGTATCAATTTGTTAATACACATGTGATCTTTTTCTTGCGGGTCATGTACAGTATGATAATGATTTCTTTTTTTTTGGTGTCTGTCTTACAGTATTTATCGCATTTATAGAAATGGGATTATTTGTCTCTCACTACCAACTTTTTGACATATTTGACTGCAGTCTGGACTTGGTTAGAGGATATCATTAGTCGATTTTCTTTCTTCCGCTGAAGATTTTTTTGTTGTTGTTTATTTATTTTTTTTACTGTATTCTCTTTTATTACTTTTTCTGAATAAACATTTTTTTAATGTTTGTGGTTACCAGTTTAATTGAAACATATGGACATTTTGTTAAAAACAATGGTATCCAGTTGTGAAAGTACACTAATTCAAATGAGGCAGAATTTGTTATTTAACGTTTATATATATATATATTTTTTTTTCAGAAGAAAAGCCCTAAAAAAAAGTAGACATGAATGCTCTTCAAGAAGGCAGCTTCAGGAAATCTTTGGTTGAAATAGACTGAGGGGAGAGCAGTGGGGGAAAGCTGATAGCGCATGTTGGGCAGATGGTCATTGTCAAGTTCTCCCACATTGGTCGGAGAGAGTCAGGTCGGAGAAGGAGAAGCTGTGTGCTGAATGAACGTCTGAGAGAAACTATATATTTTGTTTTGACGTGTTGTCATAAATTGTACTCGATGTCTCTGGGTGTGACAATGGGTTGTCCTCTCCCCTAGGTTTTTGTTTTTCAAAATGAAGGAAGGTCTTTTTGAATGTTGAAGATCAGCCTGCTGTGTTTTAGGGTGTTTTTGAACTAACCCTTGTGAGTGGTTGCAATGAAGGTGGATATTTTTTCAGTACTTTCTGGACATTTATTGTAATGCGAGTTTCTCTCAGGCAACTTTTTCACCTCTTACCTCAGTATGTTTCTGATACGCTGATATGTCTGAAGTAGATATCAAACGATGATGTTTTCATTTATAACTCTCTGGAGGTAGAGTACAGTATTCCTTATATCCTTTGGGGGGGCTCCTACTTTATTTCACTGGAATTTCTTATCCTTTACGGCATTGTTGACCTGATGTCGAAATTTTGAAATAATTTTTTTTTTGTTACACCATGCAGTATTTTTGTATTCAAATTTTTATCTCAGTATTGTCCCGTACTAGATCTGGAGTGTTATTGAAAAAGATACGGTTGCAGAAAAGTTTATTTGATTGAAAAATGTTTCTGTTTGAGCAACAATTTCTTAGAGAATATACTTTTGTGATGAGTGTATTCCTTAAACTATAACAGTCTGAAGTAAGAAATGCTTTTATGATTAGTTGATTAGTCAATGTTGGTTAATGAACTAGATAGTAATGTAAGTAATATGATAAAGTTGTCTACAGTTATCTGCTTTTACCTACCCTTCAAGTTGAATGATTTTTGTTAGTTCTACAATAAAACAAAGTATGTTCACATATTCTACATGTTGTTTGGCTGTACAGGTTTCTGGAAAACTATGTTTTATAGCAGCTCTGTCCCCTTTTGTGTCATGGACTGTGTAGAAACCAAAGACTGTTATGTAGTAGTTGTTTGTAAGCTCTGTATATGAGACTATTTTACAAGAGTAAAAGTGCAATTTAGTTTCTATTTCTTAAATAAATTTACAATCTAATCTATTAAAGGCATTGTTTGTTCTGTTTAAAAAATTGTGTAAAACAGACAGAGCCATACAAAAAATCTATTATGTAGGCATATTTACTGTAGAAAAGTCAATTTTTTGTTTTGTTTTTATGTTTATAACACAGTTGTGAAGTTTTCCTTTTTGTACAAGATTTTAGTGTTAATATTTCTCATAAAATTTAGGACTGTCCTGTCATTATACTGTTAAGAATGAGAGGCATGTAATGAAAGAAGTGAAATGATAAATGTGAGTTCAAGACTAGATTTTAGTCTGAAATGGTTTACACTTTCCTGTTCAACCTGGTCGGAACATAATGCAGTGTTAGGATTGCACCTGGCTGGAAACAGCAGGTAACAAATTTTCAACCAACTGTTCAGATGTGTTAAGCCCCAATTTTTGAAAAATTTTTTATTGTAGTTTTTAAATCTATGGTATGTGTTGCATGTGCACAAGTATATTTTGTCAAACTTCAAATTCTAAATGTAAAAACAAAAAAATAAAACAAAAACATACATAAATTAGGTGATAAATTTGATAAAAGAATAAATTAATTTTTTTCCTCCCTCATAAAAAGCATTGCTTTCTTGGCTTAGAACAGCTGCATAGCTTGTCGGCGAAATGTGATGCCAGCATCCAACCAGGCCGGAACTGGTGGGATGTGACAGCTTCTTTCTCCCACAATATTTTCTCAAGAGTAGGCTTAAATGAGGTAAAGATTGATCACTGACGTTTTAGCTGAAGCATCATTTTCATTTCCTGTGAGGAAATCATGTAGGTGTGGTTTTGTTACCAGTCACAGTTTCCTGCCATTTTCCATTAACTGCAAAAGAATGTAAACAGCAGAAGCTCGATAGTTGCTGGAACAAAAAGTTGAGCGAATAAGCAGCCCCTGCTAAAGAAGAATGTTTACAGGAAAGGCTTAAACAAGGAGGTGAACTTCTGTGGTTTTTCAGAAGAGTCATTCTCAAGTTTGAACTTCTAGAAGATTAGAGAAACGTTCATCAGTGGGTAATTTTTGTCTCTGTGAGTTGTGATGGCGTGTTCTGCCGTTAGAAGTACAGTATTTCATGCACAATTCATTCATCTCCAGTAATTGCCATCGTTACATAAAAATTCTCATTGTTTTCTTCACCATGACCTTTCCTCCACTGCTCTGTCTGCGAGTGACCCTGTCATGCCAATATATTGATATTTGTAACGTTTACCATTGTAATCCCATCCTTCGTCATGTCTTGTTAATGTTGTTGTTGTCTTTTTTTTTTTTAGGGCACTAGAATGCCTTTTGATTTTGATATTATCCAACTCATTCATATCATTACTGTTCATTACGAATATAAGTTCTCGAATCTCTTATTTTGAGTATTGACCAAGTCATTTTTGCTGATCGGATTTAGTTTTTCTCAGTGCTTCACGTCTTCTGGTTTATAAAGCATTGCACAAACAAATTGATTTACTTGTTCCGCCAAGCACTATTTGTACTTTTGTTATCAGTGTACATGTATGATCCATTCTCATCTGATAGGTTACCTTCTTGTCCCTTGACAAAAGGAGTTCATGGAGGAAAAGTGCTATTTCAAACATGTCTCTCCTGCATTTTACTTTTGTCACAGAGTAAGCCACTGCCATAACTTTTGATGAACGATTAGTCTTTTTTACTGCAGTTATATATCTTGCTTGGTTGGCGCTGGATTGTGTCAATGGGGGTGTAAAATTTGTCCACACATTTGTTGATGCTAGTGATGTCATCTGGTTCAGATTGTTGCTGTAATAAATCCAGGATGTGACTAAAGACTAGTGTAGGTCATGGTTTACTGCATTTATTGATTTATTTTCTAAAATCCTTCTCCTGTTGCGGTTAGATTCAAAACGTAATGCTTTAAAGTTCTTTGTAAAGGCTTCATCAGGCTTTTGAAATACATACGCACTTTTGTTGTTAAAGTGTTACTGGGTAGGAGACATCAGGTTGAATATTGATATCACTTTGACCGATGCCAGCAAGACTGTTGTACGTTCCTCTTTGTAGGACATAAGTTATGATAGTCTTATAGTTCTTGTACAAAAAAGTGGAATGGTGGTGAACTGAATGAGTATACATTACAGGCTTTAGGGTTATATTTCAGAAAATAAGAAAAAGTAATTGATGTCATTAACGAGACCATCGGTAAGGATTTATGGTTCAAGTTCTTTTGGGTGGTCTTGAACATAGGTGAGTTTATGTATTTTTGCTGTCATGGTGTTGAGCGTGGGTTTACTGGTTGACACATCATTTAAAGCTTTGAAATAAGTAGATAGTGAATGAACTTCCAGAATATATGCATGGACGTTATTTGTTTTTCTCTTATTCTCATGTGTGCTGTTTCTGAACAAGTCAAAACCTTCTGTTGACATAGTATATGTGTACGAGTTGCGTGTGTTTTTTAGTTCTTGATGCTAAACAAAATCAAAGACTGTCACCTGTCATGCTGTGTCATTGTGTGTGTATTCATTATGTCCTTTAGTTTTAAAATCAAATAAAGATGTTCAAACGTAGAATTCCATAGTTGATTTTTTTACAATTCATTTCCTGTTATTATGATGATAATTCACTGTACTGTGTTCGGAAAATTGTTGAAATCAGGGGTACATACACTCATGCACACTTCTAGTGTGGTGGTTGGCAGGTGCTCTGGTGTGGTTTGCTCCTTCTTTCCTATCAAACATCTGTCATCCTTATCTCTCCTCCCTTTTTTGTGTTTGTTACTTCCTTGTAACTCCTTCCCCACTGATATGACCTTATTGTGTTGCAAGTGGCGTAAATCTCTTACTAAAACACTTCTTTCATGCACATATAATATAGTATTGTGAAACATGTGCTTAGTGGAAAGATTTTTAGGTCCCTGATTTTTCTTACAAGTGTATTTATTGTATTTGAAGCATGTACTTGGGAGGTTGGAGGGTGCCACTGGTAGTGGCAGGCCCTACTTCTTTTCTTTCCGTCTATTGTTTCTGTCTATCCGTTTTACTTTCTCACTGCACAATGACCATTATTGTGTAGATGTGCTTCTCTTTATAAATTCAGTGGGTGGGTTGTGGGTGCTCTGATATGGTTTGCTCCTTCTCTTTATCGACAAATATCTATCGTCCTTATCTGTCCTTTTTTGTTCCTTACTCTCCCTACTACAATATGCCGAAGGCCCAGGAAGTTGTCTCACTAACAAGGCAATCCCCAATGTCCGGATCGGATGCGGGAGCAACTTTATTTTACTCTTTTGTAATACCTCTGATCTTCGCCACTTGTATGACCTCATTGTATCGCAAATACCGTAAAACTCAACACTTTACAGTACTTGATCTCAAACTAAAAAAACCCAGCATAGCTTATATTATTTTTTTTCTGGTAAGTGTTTTTACGGCGCTCGCTACTGCATAAGGTCATATGAGCGTGCGGAACACACCAAACATTTTCAATTGGTAGAAAATTTTGAATTTTGCCTGGGTGGCGGCCGAAGCCTACTCTATCGATATTGGACCACCAAGGGTTCTTTAACGTGCGCAACTTGCACACGGGACTTCCGAGATTTTTCGCCCTTGTCCGAGAAGGTTAGGTGTAGATCTTTCCTACCAGAAGATCAGGGCTGAAAGACATCAGTAAAAAGGAGTCAAGGAGAAGCAGTTGAAAGGCTGTAGAAAGAGCCAGGAGCCCAGAACAGGAAAGAGGCGAAAAGTGTGACTGTGCACCGACTGGCCTTATTATATTTCTCTCCGGAATGGCGACATGCCCCTCAAGTTTGACACTCGTGACGTCGCGGCTAAGATCTCTAGTTCCATTTATAACCTTTTTGGTCATTGGGTCAAATATTTCCTAAACTTTTGAAGATAAGGGATCGTTCACGAATGGCGTCAGCTCAGAGGGGAAAGGGGG